CACTGCCGATACGATTATATTACCTTTGTTTTTCAAAAAGAATGGAAGGAGGAAAAGTCAAGGGTGTCTTTAGAATTTCTTTTAGATCTGTGAACCATTGCCGTATTTCTATCAACTGCTGTTACTATCTGAAATTAAATTTTCAAAATAGTTTATCCTTTATAACATTGTTCTAAAATCTTGCATACTATTAAGTTTACGTTGTTATTTTTTGTTAAATTAAGTTGAAAAAGATAATTAAGTCTCAGGGGTCAGTACGGAAAGTGGTTGTATAGTTTATGCTACTTTTTCATACATTAGAGCGAGTGATTCGCACGGCTGAACTATAAATACACTTATACTCACTCCCGCGCACCCATTCCCGGCACCATTCCAATCCAGCGGGATCACGCGTCGACCAGCTCTATTTTAAGCTCCAGTTTCACGTACACCCACCGTATGACAGTTTCGCGCTAAATCTTCACTCTCAGAACTCTGAGACTAATAAATGTAGCACTTATGTATGTTAAAACATATTTAATATCACATTAACCCAATACTGCAACTATAATTGTGTTTGACGTAATTGGCATATCAAAAATACTTTGGAATTACTAATTGCTGGATGCGCTACGTCTTTTACACATTATTTTTACATAGTTGTATATCATACAGTCAAGACAATAGAGAATAAAAGGTTGCAGGTTCGAAAAATAAAACCAATATTAGAGGAATAACCTTTATATTCATTTCTGTTTCATAGTTTCACTCTTAACTATGCGCTTAAGGCTACATTACACCGTGTGCGGTATCCAACGTCACGTCATTTTGCAGACAACGAAAAACGTAATAAAACTGTTCAGTTTCAATTTTAAGTTCAAATAAAACGATTTTCACTTCCAAAATAGACAATCGGTAGAATTAGTGACAAATTTACATGTATGTTTATTGGTCTCAAGTGTTCAGGTATAAAAAGATGACATCCGGCTCCGAAGGACCAAGCGATAATTTTAATTTAAAAAAAAAGCATATCTTCTTTTCTATTCAAATTTAAGCAGAATACTTTATAGATTTAGCTATTCTATTTTATAGCCATTGATTAAAATTATATTAACATCCCAGATAAATGGAAAAGAGAAGAGATATTTTGGTAGGTGTTTCAGGAACCGGGTGTCTAGGTTTGAAAAATAGACAATAATTTACATCTAGTCACATATAAAAACTACATGTACTCTATTTAATAATTTAATATAGGTTTTTCCAATTTTTAACGTTTCTATATTTTAGACTTGCAAGTGAAGTGTCTTCATACTAGAACATTCAAACAGTAGGGTAGTACTATATTAACGGCGGTAGGTAGAATTTGACAAATATCATTTTCAAACATCAACATTATTAAAAAAAAACTTACCACATACTAATATCATCTAAAAACCCTTTTGATTCCTTTTGATCACTATAAAGAGGTATTTTCGATTAACTTTATTTTTTCTCCAAAATTTAATCAAAGCCATTTTTAAGAAGAATACAATGTCTAAGTACCGATTCAGACGCCATTTTCTTTCACACAAAATAAAATTATATTTTATAAATTGTACTATTTACAACACTTGCACTGTTCGAATATTCAATACATTGGTAACGAAATAAATCAAAAGCTATATTATAAATTGTGATGATTGCAAATCGAATAATAATGAAAAATTATTATTCTTATGAACATTTCAATTTCTACACACGGCATGTGAAATAATTTATACGAACGTGTAAAAATATAACACTACTTTGTCATTCTTCGAAGCTCGTAATGTGGACAAAGCCC